TCATGTGTGAATATATGCCTACACATGGAACCAGCAGTATTTGTGACTGAACAGATAAACTGTTCTTTAAAACCTTGTTATTATCTGCAGTGCAGTTGTAAGCATAATCAGTCAGAAGTAAACCCAATGAAGTTCAGTGGGAATCATTTCTTAATAAGCAGTCATTACTCCTATATCATTCTTCACAACTGAAATCTTTTTGTTCCACTGCTGCACAAACAGCATGCAGAACAGAAATATATGGAATCTGCAAAGCCCTCCTACTCCCCTTGATAGAGGGATTCTGGCTGTGTAAAAGCAATCAGGCATTTCTGGAAAATATGGGCAGAATAGAAACTAAAAGGACAGAATTTGGAGGGCAACATGACTTTAATTGTGTAGAATATCTGAACTTTTAATCTGTGTTTAATAGCACTAACAACTGAGCCAAAGCAGTTACTGTTACAACATTGTGAATACCTTTGTTGCATAATTTAAAAGAAGTATTTTTGTAACATGAACAATCGCACTTATTTATTCTGGTTTAGGCTATTTGAACTGATTCTTGCCTAAGATGATGCCTGAATAATGAGGGGAGTTCTATAACGCACATGGCAGGTTTATGCCCTTGTGCTTCACTTTAAAAATTCTGATTCCGCTGTAGGATGCAACAGAACACTATGAACATGGCTTACCCTGGCATGCTTAATGCATCTCTGTGAGGAAAGATACAGTAGCCTATATTCATTGGACTTGCAACTATAATCTTAAGAGATTTACAGTAAGGAAATGGAAAGTACCAGTCCATGATAAAAAGAATGTTTTAAAGTAAGGTGAATGAGGAAGACAGTACAGATATTAGGGAAGAATGAAAGGTACAAACCGGGATAACGTGTTTATGATCCTTTTTTTATGACTACAGTTTTCTTACATGTGAGGAAGTTCCCAAAGTGCGTTTGCTTTGATTTCACATTATTCTCAATACTAAAAAGAGGCAGAATTTTTTCATGTCTACATCTGGAACAAAGTTACGCCCAAATCCTTTTCGCTTTCTTCTCTGATACTATGTATGATTCGTTTTTAATGTGGATGTAACAGCTTTAAAGAGGAGGCAACAAACAAAATCTAATCCCTAACTTTAAAAAGAGGCTTCTTCTTTTTGGTGACATCCACTAGAACAATTATTTGAAAGTTTCTGAAGAATTGCAATTGCATGCCCATCCTAATTGAATCCTATTTTGGTTACCAATTAAAGAAGTTCTCTCACAGAACTGGTTCCCTTGGAAGTCATCTCCTCAGTTGCCTCAGAAAAGCAGGTGAGTTAGCAAGGCCTGCTCTGGTGGTTTCAGTGTTCGGAGCTGTCTTTTGGCTTCCAGAAGTGTCTGATGGAACATTATAGTTGATTTTTGCTTATTTTGCCCTTGCCATCCTGGTCCTTTTTTCTTTTGTCTGTTAAATGGTAAGCCATTAATTTGAAACTGAATTGTTATAGCATGAGCTGGAAGTTTATATATACATATAAGTGAATAGTGTTAAAGTATATTAATTGCCTCGACCTGAACAGAGATAGAATGGATTTTAATATTCCCAGTGGCCTGCAGTATTAATATAATAGTTTATCAAGATTTCTGTACAATTGTCCTTTTAAAAGCTTGGGAAGCAACAAACAGGATGAAACCTGATGCATTATGGATTAAGTTCATCAGGATTAGTTACACATTTAATGTTGCTCAAATTCAGCATGGCTTGAAAATGTGTTCTATACTCTGCATTATGGCTTACATTTAGTATCAAGTAAGATTTACCCAGCCCATTTTAAGATTGCCCATGATGGGAACTGCACCAGTTTTTAAGAAGTGCTGAAATACAGTAGTTATCAAAATTCAGCTGACAATTAACTGGCTTAAACCAGAGCCAAAGGAGAGCATATCTAGTCACAGCTGAACAAGAAAGAAGGGTGAGCAAAATTCATTTTGTGGGCTGATTTCTTGGTGTAGCTCAGATATACAACCCTTGTATAAATCCTAATAAAAATGATAATTTTTATTTAGGTTTTCATGTACAAAAAGAATATAACTTTAAAGCAGGCAACAAACTGCAAAAACACTGGGCTGAAATGTCAGAATCTGATTTATTTTTAATGGGTCTACACAAACATATTGTGACAAAATCTTACCACATTTGCAACTACAGCATCTTACAGGGACCTATTTATTGTGCTATCCCTGCAACTCATTGTTGCAGGAGTACACTAGTCAATAGTAAAAATTTTCTCCTTTCAATATTAGCTTGATGAAAATGAGTAGCAAAATGGACAGAGGAAGAGAGAGATTCGCAAGAGGATCCTAGCATTCCTGGGGATGTTGCTGGAGTAGCAGAATGTAGCTCTCTAAGTGTGTGAAAACAACTCTTTGACCACCATTACAATCTGCTTGGTAAGTATATCACAAGTGAAGTATAAAAGATTTTCACTACAGAAATGAAGCCTAACACACATTGATATGGGCATGTTTTTAATTTATTTTGAGCTCCTTGAAAGGGAAGTGGGATATTAATGTCATAAATGGAAAACAAATCTATCTTCTAGATCTTCCCTGAGACAATCTGCATGGCTTCTGGAGACCATCAAAGGACCAACACAAGGTATGTGACCTCCGTAACTCATGGTCATTTGGCCCAAGCTTTGGTAATATCCTAAGGATGGTTAGACCTCTGACTAGCTTTTTAAAAAAATTTGTTGAGGCTCAGGAGAAGATAGATTCCATTCTTACTTTGCAAAGACGGATCGTTGCTAATCAACACAAGCACGTGATCTGGACATCATCTCCTCTTGCCCAGTTGGCAGGACTGCATTTTTCCACCTTCTGTATGAGGAAGTTGGGAATGTACTGATGGAGATAAGTCACCTGGGGTGTGGCACTGTTGTCTTAAGTACATAAAAACTGTCATTTTGTATCAGACCAAAGGTTAATCTAGTCCAGTCCGATGCTTCTGGAAGTTTCACAGAGTGTGAAAGTAATTCTTTCACACAGTAACTTTCCTGGGATCAGTGGCTGCAATTAGCTTCTATGGGCCAAAAATAAAGCACTGAATTTTGTGATGAGCAGGCTGTAGGAACGCTTTGATTAATATTGCTGACCAAAGAGCTGCCATTTAAATTTCCCAATGTTCTGGAGCAACAGTATTTTAGGGGAACTGAAAATAGTCGTCTTCAGATTCACCCCTAGGACAGAAAGGCCAGGGCATAAATAAGCACCTGTGAGCTGAATTTGCTGTGCACTCACAATTACTCAGGGCTGCTAAGTGTGCATATCAGATCAGATTCCAGAATATGTTCTTAATCTCTCCCATATTAGTGATTTCTTATGTGGAAGAATAAAGTGCTGCTTTAGGGACATTACTGTCTTGAGGATAAAATCTATTTTCTGCACCTAATTGCAGGTTTTTGCAGGTACAATGTGCTCGTGTCTCCAGCACATGGAAGATAAAGCTGCATTCCTACAAAGTGCAAATTCTCCCTTGTACATGCAATCTGTCTACATAATTGTAAGAATTTTGCTGCTATGAAACAAAAACAGATTAAAAAATATTAAGCAGATTAGCTCTGAAGAACCATAGGATTGGCAAATCTTGAATAACAGCCTTTTTTAAAAATGACCTTTATAAGGATATGTATTTCTGGTTAAAAAAAAAAGATAACACAATGAATATTTTCAGTGCAGCAATACATTTATTTTAAATACAATCAAGCGATTTTTTAAAAATGTCACAGGCTATAACTCAGCAGTCAGCATTATTTGGGAGTAGGATTTTTAACAAGCTGAGCTACATTTTTGCTTAATAGACCAGATGGCCATTACAAAGGACACAGTTGTTTTAAGTCATGCTTGCAGTGGGCATTTTTCACTGGATTCTCTGCTGGGTGGGCATGTTCCCCCACATTTTGAAGGATAAGAACAGCAACCAGGTTTTTAAATGAGCCATTTATGAACAGGAATACAACATGCATAAATAGGATAAAGCAAATATATTTTAGAAAAGTCAGAAGAGCAAAGATTAAATTACTAGAAAAGTTAGGAAATCTTAATACTGATGATCTTCTTGCTACATTTTGCACTTGTGTATTTATTGATGACTCATTAAATTCTCCTCTTAAATTGCAGGGCTTTAAGGACTCTTGATATAATCTCTTTATATCTATATAAGGAATTGGATACACACCTTAATGATACACTGGAAAATATGAAGAAATGTTATGGGGGTGGAGGGGAAATGGTAACATTACTACAGCATCATAATAGTAGGAATGGATCCTACTAGGCCTTTTGTGTAATTTCCTAATCCAGCCTTTTATCATAACAGAAAATGTTCAGAGCAAAGATTTCTCTAATACTACAAAACTTGGGTACCAAGTAGTAAGGGGCTGATTTATGCGTAAACATGGTAAGAGCAGTTTATGGACTTTTTCACATGTGACATTTAGAAATATTCCTCAGCTTCAACAGACTGTAAAAATATTGCAGTACAAAAATTTGCAATACAAATACCTTTCCTCTGCTTTGTCATGTTAATAATGGCCACACAGGAACATAAATAATGCATAAGGCTTAAAGCTACTTTAAGCCTGCCATGTATGAAAACTTGCCAAAGTAATAGGAAATGGAAAGAGTTATACCTTCCTTAAAGAAGACAGAAATAGCTTAGTGCAGTTCTACTCAGCACTTACAACACTGGCATATACCACAGGATTATGTTCTGATATTTCTGACCATTTTGTATGCAAATGATTCAAAACTATATGGTTTGGTTATGTATCAAATTGCAGCTTGTCCTGCTGTCCAAAATTATGTGTAGAATGCAGTTTTCTAGAAACATTAAAACATAGATCATTTTTCCCTATCTTCTACAGGCTCTGGACAAACAGGTTTTGCACATTTTTAAGCTCTTTCTAACATGACCTTTAAATGCTCTGACTTCATGTTGGTAGAGTTACATCAGCATTATTTTGTGTGAATCAACAAATGGTAGCTGGTCCATCTTTTAAAGTCCCTTTAGACAAAATCAAGGGGAGGAGCACCATCTCATCTGCACTACTTAATTACTCATTCCTCCTCTGGTTCAATCAACACCATATTCTAGAAGACAGAGCCAAATGTTCAATTTTTACTGTTCATTCTCTCCACTGTTTGATTGTACAGGGAGGGCATGTGAGAAGTCATCAGGATGGAAGAGCAACAGGTCCAGGAGCATCTAGGAATTTAGAGGACTCTGCTTCTCAGCTGGGATGTGGATTTCAGCAGATAACCAACAGCAGTTGGTGAAGCATATCATTTAAAGCACAAGGACTTTCCTAATTCAAATGTTGTGTCTCAATAATTAATTCAAGATAAGATATGAGCAGTTATTTAAAAACAACAACAAAACTGATTTGTCAAAAACTGATGAGAGCCCAAGATGATTTCTTGACCAATTGACCTTTCTGGTCTTGTGCCAATATAAGATCAGATTATAGTCTTTACATTTTTTCCTTACAAAGGAATTTGCAAAAAGTGACTGTCATTGCAATTGCCACCCCCTACTCCACCCACTTAAAATCAGTGTCAGACATATTTCTATAACAAACAGGTTTTATACTGGTAAACAGCACCTGACTGTAAATCAGTTATCTCTTAGAGAACAAACAGTTCAAATTTGGAATTCATAGTTCAGCTCTGATGTCAGTAGAAGGTCTTTGACTACTTGATGTCTAAAGAATACTTGCTTTCAATTCTACAAATAGATTAAGCAAGCATGTCCTTGTCCTCTGAGCTAGCATTATCTATATAGAATCATAAGCACTTCTAATTGAAAGAAGTAATCAACAGGAGGTGACTCGCTTCATAATTACCTTTCATTTCCTATGTAATGGACCATTACTTTGTTATGCATATTCTACTACTGCTTTCTAAACATAAAACTTGACTAACAGGCCCATTACTGAGGATAAATTCAATCCAGGTCAACCGGTACCAATTCCTGTCAAAACAAAATGAAAGGAAGAGGTTCTTTAAAATGTTCTTAACCTTGGGTCAGTAAACCTACCAGACACATAATCCATACATTTTTTTAAGATTAAAAAAGTCTGAAAATGTTACAATATGCAGTTGGATGTCTAAGCCATAATGTTTAGTTTGGTTTCATGCAACATATAGTCACAGCCTTTGAGAAGCCATTAACATTTTATGTCAACAAGGCCATTGTACCTTGTTCCACAAATTATTATTAAAACTATGGCTTCATGCAGTGTGTGAACCCAACAATTCTACTTCCACTTTAATAATACATATAATGTGGAGTAGATGGTTCTGGGGACAGACAAAAGTAACTGCAGACATTCTTTTAAAATAAATATATTAATTTTTTTGCAGAAATGTATCCTGTCACTTTTAGAAGGAAAATTGAAAATATTGAATAGAATTATAATGGTTATTGTGAATAAATTATTTTCTTAAAACCATATTTAACCATTAGGGTGTTATGATTAGACTCCTGGGATTCTATGGTGATCACAAAATCCCAACAAAAGAAAGACTCAAGCAAGTGTCTGACTTCACATATAATTTGCTTATTTTATTTGATTGATTGATTGATCAAATTTATATAGCAGCCAATCTCATAAGAAATTACTCTGGACACCATACAACAATAAAGTAAACAACAAACATAAAAACAATCATCATAAAAATACAAAAAATTGTTATTAAAATTAAAATATTCAAAATTTAAAATATTTTTAATTTTGATAAAAATTAAATAAGTTTTACTTCTGATAAAAATATCAATTTTTTGATAAAAATTAAATTGATAAAAAATATTTGTTCATCTTGATAAAATGTGTGAATGCAGCCAGTAAGTGCAATTTGCCTACACCCATTCTTTATTAGACCTCTCTCACGTTAACACCAGTCATTTATTACCTTTCTATCTCTTCCTGCGCTCTTTATATTGCTTCCCCCACAACTGATATTTTAGCCAGTTTGGTATGGTGGTTAAGGCACCAGACTAGAAACTGGGAGATCATGACTTCTAGTCCTGCCTTAGCCACAAAGTCAGCTGGGTGATTTTAGGCAAGTCCCTCTCTCTTGACTCTAGGAAGGAGGCAATGGCAAGCCACTTTTGAAATTTTGCCAAGAAAACTACAGGTACTAGTCCAGGCAGTCACCAGGAGTCAATACCGACTTGAAGGCACTAAAAAAAAAAAACCACCTTGAAAAAAAGACTTGAGACAGTTCCTGAAGTGGTGGTTGATAATGAGTAGAAAATAATTTATTTGTTTTATAATCTGGCCCACTGAATAATGGGAATATTCTTAATTCCTTAAATTAAAAAGTGATAGCCCTAAAAAATCCTAGTCACGTCATACTTAATAGAAAGTTTACATTTGATGAACCTTATGTAAACATGTACCAAATGGCTGTTCTAGAATTTACTTCTAAGGAAATACATTAATTTAGTCTTCTTCATACCCGATGCCATAAAACAATGTAATCATTACAAATGGATCACACTATATTAAAAGGAGGTTATATTACTTCAGTGTAATGGATTCTTTAAATTGCCACAGATTAAAGGGTTGTGTAAAATAATTGCTTCAAAAGAGTTATATATATTTTACAGTAATATATGTTTTGGAGGGCCAATATAAAAAAGTTCCCTACAAGCTGGTCTGTGCCCCTGTGAACAATGGGCTATTGAGATTACAGCTCATGTCCTATTCTACTGTACTCTCTGTAAGGATCCTACAATCCGCTTTATAACTCCCTGATAAAACACCTGGAAAATTCTGATCTTTTTTTATGTACAATTACTGTTATCAGATCAGTATGATTTAGTTTCCTTGAAATTTTGTTATATTGCCTGTAAAATTAGACAGGTCTTGACTGCCCCCCCCCCGAAACTACCACCAATTGTAACATTCTTAACCTATCTTGTGTCTGTCTTCTTATTTTAACGTGTTTTATTTTTAACTCTGGTCTGTGACCATAATAAACTCTCTCTTACTGAGAACAGAGAAGCAAATCAACACATTCTCCCACACCCATGATGCATGTATATATGTATTTGCATTAAGTATATATGCACACGCCACGGGTATGCATAAACGAAATAAAAGCACTCACCAGGAATATAGTGTGATCACTTTAGCATGCTCCAGAAGAGCCACCTGCAATCCAGGGATGCTGTCATTAGAAGGTTTGACTAGGGCTGGGGCCCTGTGTGGGTGTGTGTCAGCTTTCCCCTCAGCTATGAAGCTGCCCAGGTGGGCTTGAACCTGTCAATCTCTCTCAGTCCAATCCACCTCACTGGTTGTTCTAGGGCAGCAGTTTTCCAAGCGTGGCTTGGGGAAACCTGGGGGTCCCCAAGACTCTTTCAGGGGGTCTGCGAAGTCAAATATTTTAAAATGTCTCCGTTTTCATTTCTGATAGAGTACATATCAACAGATACAACCCGCACAAACCAAAGCTCCTTGGGTCCTCAGTTATTTTTAAGAATGTAAAGGGGTCCTGAGACCAAAACATGTGAGAACCACTGTTCTAGGGCAAAGAGCCATGTTCTCATGAATAAGAACACCATATTCTTGGGCTCCTGGAGGAAAAGCTGGAGATAAATGAACTGCCTTGGTGCTACGATGGTCAGGAGAGAAGGTGCCTCACCTCGCCCCCAACCCGCAACAGAGGGCCTCATCCTGCGCTGCTGCTCCCAGGTTAGGGCAGTGGCTGCGTTTGCCCCTTGGTTTCTCAGCTTTTAGAAAGCCTGCCCAGATGCCCCTCCTCCCCAGACATTTGTTGCTTGACTCTGATCAGCTGCAGTTTTAACTTTGCCTACTGTTTTCGTTTTAGTTTGCTGCCTTGAGTCCTCCCTAGAGTACAGTGGGGAATATCATATTATGATTATTTATTCCGCATTTTTAATATGTAACTCAAGGCGATGAAGATACCTAATTCTCCTGATTATTCTCCCCCAACAACCACCCTGTGAGGAGGTCGGGCAGAGTGCGCGCGACTGGCCCGACGCCTCCCAGCCGGCTTCCAGGCCTAAGGGAGGCCGAGAACTCACCTTCTCCTGGTTTCTAGGCCAGCCCCTTCACCGCGACACCGCACTGGCTCTCAAATCCAGTCAGACAGCAAAGGATCGCCCAGTGAAACTAAACCTGCCCCGCAGCCCCCTCAGGCGGCCGCCAGCAACCCCTCCTTGGCCCCGGGGAGAACCGTACCGAGGATCGAGGTACCCCGGCCTTCACTGGGGGCTGAACCGGAGCATCCTCCACGCCGGGCCTCGCGGCCAAAGGGCTCCAGGGCTGTCACGGCCACGCGTGTCAACGTGCGTGCTTGCTGCGAAGGAAGCCCCCCGTTCACCTCAGGGCTTACACACTAGGCTTCGCAGACCCAGACCCGCCCGAACCCGGCGCGCCCTCCTGGCTAAGAGAGCCGAGACGCTCCCCTGAAGCGGGCCCGGCGTTGCTTAGCAACGACGGCGGCGAGGGGAGGGGAGCTCCGCTCCGAGAGAACGCATTAAACGAGCGCTTTCCACGCGCCGAGGCCCCTGCCGGCTTCCGTCCCAGATGATCCTTGTCCCCGCCTCCTGCCGCTCTAGTGTTTCGCCTCCATCTCTAGCCGACGCCAGTGGCGTAACCCGGTCTCGGAGAGGGAGCCGCGTCAGCCG